CCCATCACACACCTCTAGCCAGAAAGCCCACAGCTCTGGCTCATACCTTCCTGGAGGGTATTGGTCACACCTGCTTGCTGGGACCACAAAGCCTGCTCCCTCTGCTGTTTCTGGCCCGTTCGAAGCCGACCCAGATGCCTAAGTCAACGGGACACATGCAAAGGCAGCACCCAGCCTGGGCGTGTCCCTCTGGCCTTCAGTGCCTTCACCTGGACAGCAGGTGGCGCCTGTCAGGCTTGGCAGAGCACGGTCAGCCGCTGCTCCTGGCACAAGGGCTGCACCCTCCCTGGGAGGTCCACAGGCCCACAAAGCTGGTGACGTCTCAGGGACCTCTGGCACGGGCCTCTATGGTCTTGTGACCCCCAACATTCGAGACAGCTCCCAGGACCTTGGGACTAAACTAAGCTATGGAGGGTTGTGTGTGGCCTTGGGAAAGGCAGCGTACCCCAGCGTGCCTTAGTTTCCTCCTCTGAGGATGGGAAATGTGCCATACAACCCCACAGCTGCCAGGGCGGCTGCGAGCACTCAGAGTGACATAAAGAAGGTGTGACAATCTGGTCAGACGAGAGCTGCGTTCAGGAGGCTCCTGGGGAGCTGGCACCATGCAGAGGCCACACCCCAGGACTGGGGGAGCCGAGCGAGGGACCAAGAGACAGAGGTATGAAGGCAGGGGCAGAACGGCCTTTCTGAGCGCTATGTCCAGGCTGGGTCATTTCCTCCTCTCCCTCTTTCTCCTCACGCTGGCCCCAGGGTCAGCCCTGCCAGCAGGTCCCCAAGACACGCTGAGCTTCACCTGGGTGCTTCTGGGCAAGCCCCCCTGGAACTTAGGTCCGGCCCCCGAAGGCAGTGCTCACAGTACAGCCGACATAACACAGACCCCACAGACCTGACACGCGGGCAGGTGCTGAGGGGGGAAAGTGAAGGTGGCACTGTGGGAAAGCGGGCTGGGGCGGGGTCATTCGGAGTCGGGGAGCCTCAGGGTCAGAGGGGGCTTTCTCATGCCCTAGCTGTGTGAGTCTTGCTTTCTTCGTCTGGACGTGCTAAATGACCTTAACCAGTCCTTCCCTCTCGGGTCCCAGTCCCGTCAACTACTAAAGGGACAGACCTGACAGATGTCTCAGAGACCCCCGCCCCCAGCCACGAAGCAAGGAGGCGGATTCCTTTCCCTGAGAACTAGAGGTGCTGGATGGTGTCTTCTCTCCCAGGAGAGGACCTAGCTGCTTTGAACCTCTGTTCGACACCAGTGCTGGGTTTGCCTCCAAGCCTCGGTGTGGCTTTGCTGATCCCAGGGACCCTAACTACAAATGTGGGCATTTACTGTAAACACAGGAGGTTTACAGGCAGGGGCCACTAAGCCTTGGCTCTGGGATCTTTGCTGCAAACGAACACACACACACACCCAAAGAAACAAACGTGTTTCATGGAGGGTAAACCCTTTACAAAGGAAAACGCGAGGTCACATCTGCCCCGGGGCTCCCCACACTCACACATGACACACGTGACCACACATACTTGGGCACACCACACGCCACACAAACACGCCACCCACACGCTCGCAGCCCTCACACCAGCTCACACACACTCAGATGCCCCACATGCCAGCACACGCCCCACACATTCACACATACACACACATGCACACACGCGCGCACACACACGCGCGCGCACACGAACAAAAGTGCAAGTACAACAAAGGAAGTGGAGAAAAGTGTTACCCATGAGTAGCCGCCGTTTCACCCGCTTGTCCACATCAGCTACTGACGTGGCATTGAACTGAGAGCGCTCAATTGCAGCCTCATCCTTCTCTAAAACACAAGTAAGGGACAAACACGGAGCCGGTGGTTAATGAGAGCCCACTTCCCGCGGCCCAAGACAGTCAGCCTCTCGGCGGGGCGCAGGCAAAGCCAACACAGCATGCCGGGCCCGCGCCGCGGCCTCGCCAAGGGGCTACTCCCAGGAAGGGGTACTCAGGGCAGGTGGGAGAGGGAGGGCGGGCGAGAGGGAGGGATGACCACAGGATGAGCCGGCACACAGAGGGGACACAGGCCGAGCTGCACACAAAGGCGGCTGAGGTCCGAGTGGACAGGCTGGAGCCTCGGAGGGCCAGAGAAGCAGAAAGCGCCAGCATGGTGCTTACGGAGACATGAGCCACAGACACCCAGGATTCAGGCTGGAGAGGCAGGCGCAGGACAAGGAGACAGGCTGAGAGGTCCGGTGATGGGTGCGCCCAGGGCAGCAGACGCCCTGCCACGAGGACGTTGTCAAGCACTCATGCAAAATTAAGAACAAAACGCACGGAGGGACACACACGCACGACATGGAATCCAGTGGAGCAGACAGAGAGACCAGGGGTTGGCTGGGGCAGCGCTGGTTGCCTGCTTGTCTATGGAGGAGTAGCTACACATTCAAATGCTCGGTGAGGGGCTGCTCGGGGAGCTCAGTGGTTTTAGGAACGAGCAGGAGGGAAATGCCTGGGGCCGGCAGGGAAGCACGCCGGTAGCCTGGGCACAAAGCCACACCAGGGTGCGTCCTGTGGAGGCCCACGTGGGGTTAGCTGGCTAGGCTCATTTGCTCAGTCGGACATGTGTGGGGACACTCGTTCCCCAGGGGGAAACCAATTGACAGTGAGCAAAGCCAGATGAAAGGGTTGTCATCCGGGCCAGGAGTGGAAGCAGCGGCAACAGCTGGACATGGAAAATGGTTTCTAAGGGTGGCGGGAGGGACAGAAGGGGCTCGGGACATTACTTTAGAGGGTAGATCTAAGCAGGGACCGTCGCATGCAGCAGACATTAAGAAATAAAAAATGGAAATAAAAAAGGATGAGTCAGGTGCACAAAGACAAGATGTGTTAGACAGAGGGCCGGCGTGTGTCTGGCCCGGCAGCTGTTCACACCCGTCCGTGGTGGGCAGAGCGCGCCCCACCAGCGACGGTGGCAAAAGCTGAGAGAGACCTCCAGGGTACGCAGACAGGGAGGAGGCCGGGGCAAGGCCCAGCGGGCCTCTGGGCAGGACAGCGGAGGGAGAGAGGCGGGAGGAGGAGGTTCTAGATGGATCAGGCTGCAATCGAGACACTGGTCTGAGACCGGGTTTTGCTTTTAATTTTTTTGATTGATTGGTTGGTTTGGTTTGGCTTTTGGTTCCGGAAATCACTACTGAACGTCAGGTATCAGACAAGACAGGCAATCAGGGACCATCACCAAAGAAGCAGGAGGAATGAGTAAAATGAAATAAAAAAACAGCTGTCGAGAGAAGAGACCACACAGAGGAAGGGAGAACCACCGCAGGCAGCAGCACCCTGGGACATGGACCCGGGACGAGGGCGTGACGGGTGGGCCCACCCCCAGCCCCGGGTCCACTCCCGCTCCTGCGACACAGGGATAAGACGAAGCGGCCAAGTCTGGGTGTTGCAGGCTTCGCGGCCATGGCTTGCTAACCAATCCTTTCCTGTTACGTGAAAGCACCTCAAGAAAGATAGCCCAAGTCCACAGGAAGTGGGCTTTTTTTTTTTTAAACTTTTCAAATAAACATGATAACTGACTTGTTTTGTGTTTCTAAAGTTCGCCAACACTGAAGAGAGGAAAGAAGGTGAACTGTGGGCGCCAATTTTGAAATTCCTCTTTTTCTTAATACCAGTTAAAAAAAAGGATTACTGGCATTTTTGAGTGGGGGGGGAACCCACCAGTGATTGTGGTATAAAATACTCATAAATATACTAGCTTTACCTTGTAAATATGGATCAGGAGAAAGGAGGTGACTGAGACTAAATTCGAGGCTCCATGTAACAGGGGAGGTGACGGGTGGGGGCACCCTGGGAAGAATGGCCTTTGGGTGTGAGAGAATGTTCTGGCCCAGAGCTCCCGTTAGCTGGGGTAAAAAGCAGTTGAAAACACCCAAACCCCACACCGATTCACACCGTTATCTCCCCGGGGTTTTAAACAATGAAGGCTTACAACAATTTCTGAGGAAACCTCTTGGTTTTCCAGTCCACTGGGGGCACTCACCCTGCTCGGGGGTGGCCACGGTGCCTGGCTGGGTGCTCTCTGTCTTAGGGAGGGGACACCTCCACTTCAGGAACAGAGATGCCCTCCATAGGGACACACACCTTCCTCCTCCCCAAGGACCCTGCCTGGGACCACTGCCAAGTCGAGGCCCATTTTAAGGAAGCCCGAGGGAGACAAGCCCTTCCCGGGAGCCTGAAGCAGAGAAGCCTGGTCTTGTGTGGCTGAGATTGCACAGAGAGCTTCTCCTGGGATGCCTGCCGCCCCCTATCATTACTGGGGGCGCTCATTTTCTTGCTTTTTGGAGATAGGGACACGGCAGGGTGCTAGCAGATTTCAGGGTCATGTGGTGCCTCTGTGCGGGGCAGGGTGGCGGAAGGTGCGCGCGGCGGAGGGGCCTACTCACCGACGCACGTATGACCGTCTGCGTGGAGGGCGTACTTCTGGTGGCAGCCGCACGTGGGGCCCGTGTCTGTGTCCTCGCAGCTGTGCTGACAGCCTCCGTTCCCATGGTTACAGGTTACTAGTTAGGCCCAAAGTGCACACACGCGCATGTAAACAGAACGACAGCAAAATGATTAGTTTCTCGGTGGTTTGTTGGTGGTTTCTTTTCTGGGGGTGGGGAGGGAAGTGAGGGCTGGACAGTAGACACACAGCTCCCAGGCCTTCTGCCTCTCCAGGGGCTTGGGGGGTACCGTTCACTCCCTGGAAGTGACCCGGGATAGGACAGAGGCGTGTGGGCCCTCCGGGCTTGGGACAGAGCTGGCACAAAGCTGAGACGCTCCGACGGGGCTGGGTGAAGGCGTGAGTTATACAATCTTTTTTTTCTTTTTTATTGTACTTTAGATAAGGGTTTATAGAACAAACTAGTTTCTCATTAAACAGTTAGAACACATATTGTTTGATGACATTGGTTAACAACCCCACGACATGTCAACGCTCTCCCTTCTCAACCTTGCGTTTCCTATTACCAGCTTTCCTGTCCCCTCCTGCCTTCTAGTCCTTGTCCCTGGGCTGGTGTGCCCCTTTAGTCTCATTTTGTTTTATGGGGTTGTCTAATCTTTGGCTGAAGGGTGAACCTCGGGAGTGACTTCATTACTGAGCTAAAAGGGTGTCCGGGGTCCATACTCTTGGGGTTTCTCCAGTCTCTGTCAGACCAGTAAGTCAGGTCTTTTTTTGTGAGTTAGAATTTTGTTCTACATTTTTCTCCAGCTCTGTCCAGAACCCTCTGCTATGATCCTGGTCAGAGCAGCCAGTGGTGGTAGCCGGGCACCATCTAGCTGTACTGGACTCAGTCTGGTGAGTTAGACAATCTTATCCTCCCCTCAGTTGCAAAGGGCACTTTACAATAGCCTGTCTCAATGGGGCAAAATCTGTTGACTCCAGCGCGGATCAGCAGGGGGCAAGGTGAGAGGGGACACCCCTCTCCTCAGTTCTCATGCAGCTTTCCTTGTTTGGCCTCTGTGTTGGGGCGTGAGGAGGGGCACATCCACACGATCCTTGTCCAAGCAGCCCCCTCAAACTCCATCTCCTCCAAGCCCCGATCCCCCCGAGCTCCACAACGTTCACACAAATGTATGCAAATAGATGCTATGTGAGGGTTGGTTCTGGAAATGCCCAGAATAAGGCATGCTGCATAGTCTGCAATGCCGGTGCCTGAGCGTCGGGAACCCTTCAACCCAGAGTCCCAAAATTATCATCAGCAACCTGGGTCAGCTGGAAAGCAGGCTGAGCCAAAAGCAGAAATGACAAATTCAAGTTTACTTAAAAGGAAATACATCGCTACCCCTTTGCAGGCTGAGGAATATCACCCAAGGGAAGCAAGGGATCTAGATCTCTCTGGAAGGCCTTCTCTGGGCCCTGCTTCCCTACACGGAGAAGGAGGGCCGCCTGCCAGTCATCGGTATGTGAGGAGCACCAGCGCTGCGCCAGCAGGGTGTCTTCTTGGAAACTTTAACCGTTTGACCAGAACTCTGTCTGCACTGTTAACTTACTTGGCAAAAACCTAACGATGACCGAATATGCAAAAGTAAACCTCAGACCAGTCACGGTCAGGGGCCAAGCATTCCGAGTCTACAGTCTGAGTTAAGAACGTGCGATCAGGTGGATCCAGAGCATGGCCAACACTGGAGGGGAAGTCGTGTGGTGGCGACTCCTCATGAAGGGTTCCAAACATCTCACAAGTGACTTCTGTGGCTGCATTTCCCAGGGACTCTTCCTTTCACCAAAAGAACAACAGCGGGGGCTTTTGGGGGTGCTGGTCCCGAGAGATGGTGGGGTTCGGTCAGCCTGGTCACACGCAGTTGCCATGTCAAGTGGGAACAGTTTGATGAGGAAAGGCTCTTGCTCTGTGTCCCGGACTCTGTCCTCAGCAACCCAAGGGGACCAATGACCATCCGAAGGAGGGACTGACTTCCAGGGGTGAAATTTCAGGGACTGCGCACACTGCTTCGGGAAACGTGAATGGGGCTTCTCGCACAAAGCACTCTGGCTCCTTCTCTGCACCCTGGGTAGACTGGGCACCGGTGGGGTCACCTTCTCTAGTCTCTGAAAGAGCTCCTCTTGCCCAGGGCCCTGGGGGTCTGCAGCTGAGCCCTGCCCAGGAGCCCAGATCACGTGAGGGGAGAGACAGGCCGAGCCATTGCCTTTCTGGCACCGAGGAGAGCTCCATGTCAGAGAGGGAAGGGTGGAGCTGGAGAGAGGGCGGTGAATATTGCAGGCTCTTCCTCTGGAGCCCTGGTTCCTGGAGACAGGCCATGCCCTGAATAATGACTAAGGAGGACCGGCCTCTCTGGCCAGGCCTGGTCCAGATGACTTGAGGGGGGTCTGCACACAGGGCCCTTGTACCACACAGACTTCTGGCCTCTCCTGGACCCTGAGGACCGAGCTTACTGCAGCTTGTACCCAGAGACACCAGAGCCCTGAGCTCAAGGGAGACAAAGGGGTGCATGTGCTCAGAGGCCCTGGAGTGGGTCCTGGGCTCTGGATGGAGGAGAGAATTTGGGGCAGAGCCCCTGTGGTCCTGACGGCCCAGAGAGGGTAGCCGAGCCAGGCCTCAACTGGCAGCCCACCTCAAGGTTCAGGAAGCTTCTGGCCCTCTGGTGATCTCCAGGGCTCTAGGGAAAGTCTCAGAGCTGAGCTCACTGGACACTACCCTGCTGCACTGACCACATGGAAGGAACCTGCGCCAGCGGACTGGGCCGAAGGAACCCACGTCAGCGGACTGGGCCGAAGGAACCCATGCCAGCGGACTGGGCAGCCACCAGTTCAGTCCCTTCGTGGCGGGCCCAGTAGGCAGCCACCCACTTCTTGCCTCTTAAAGTCGTAAGGTAAACACAGGCTCTAAACCCCAGAGGGGAGTGGGGGACTGCTGCTTCTGAACAAGCAAATGTTCCAGCAAGGGTTTAGCTCTTCTCTGACAAATAGCTGGTCAGGAGAGAGGGGACGCAGTCTTGGCTGCTCTGAGCCCTGCCTCTTCTCACACCAGATCGGCCCCTCAGGAGATGCTGTCTGAACCAACTGTCTCTTCAGAGCCTCTGTCCCAGATGCTGTGAGAGAATTATGGAGTGGCTGCTCCCAGCCATTCCCCGTGTGCTATGCCCGCTGCTCTTCCTCTGGCACCAAGCACTGTGCCTGCTCCACAGCTGATGCTCAACCAACCTTGGGCAATGTCCCCATGCCTACCAACTCCACATATTCTTGACCTTGGTCTTTCTCTTGAAGAATCTTAGATCACCCAACTTGAGAGGACTGGGAAAGCTGGGGTTGCCCACTCTCTGTCCCAAAAGCTGCCAGGTGACGCGAGGCTTCTCTGTAGCTAATGGGGAGGAGGGCCTGGCTGGCGGCACAGGGCCGGAGCTGGGCACTGAACAGTCGAGACTGCCCCTGTTTGGCCCCGTCCTCGGTGACAGCATGCATGCCTCTCCACTTTCAAATCCCCAAAGCAGCTCCACTGCAACCCCCTCAGCTTATGTGAGTTCATTTTTGACACCCCACTCTCCTGAAGAGGCTGGTCCCCAGCTCGGACAGTACGTGGGCAGAAGAAAGCATCTTCACCTCTAAGAATGGATGACTCAGGAAACCAGGGCTGGGGTGTGAGCTCCTGGAGACAGGACCTTGCCTGAGGCAGCTGGGTCCCGGGGCCTTGGGGACTGCGTGAGGACAGCATGGTGGGAATGACGTGACGAGATGTCCAAAAAACAGCTGATGACAACTGACAGACTCCATGACTAAGGGGCCACCTGTCCTCTCCACAGTACGGTGTGGGGAAGGCTGGTCGGCCTCGGTCTCCCCTTTCCAATCAGCTAAGTGAGGACCGTTTTCCACACCGTAAGGTGGAACTGAACGTTTCCATCCCATTTTTCTGCATTGGAAACTGGCCCTGGGGTGAAGCACCTGTCTCTGGCCAGAGTACAGTCAGTGTTTACAACAGCCTCGCTCTGCTCTTTGCAGACACAGGCAAGCACTGCGTCCGTCTAGGTGTCCCCGCTGCTCAGCAGGGAGAGGCTGCACCGCCATCTCCCCAGGCAGCTGTCAGGAGGTCGTGCGGGGCCTGAAGCTTTGGAGGATGAGCTGAGTGTCCAGCTGCTGTCCTGTTGGTTCCCTGCTTCCACTCCTCCCACGGAGCTGGGTAACCACGAGCAGACACTGTACTCTGCGTGAGTCCTATGAGAAGACTCTTCCCAGACAGACCTCCGAGCAGGCCTCGTTCCACCCAGGTGTCCCAGGACATGACCATTTACATGCTGGGCCCTTGCAGCAGCCTTGCGGGGGTTGGGCTATGAGTTCTGATCTTTGAGCCTGGAAATAAGGTCAGCCTAGAACCACGTTCCCTTCCTTCTTTACACCATATCCCATTGCCAGGGGCTGCCCTAGCCCCTTAAGAACCCAAGTGGTTAGAGTTCTTGTACCATAGCCTCTTCATTCCTGTCAGGGAGCTTAGACTCAGGGACCAGCACGTCTCAACTCCGATTTTTACTGGGTTGAGGAGACAGGAGTAAGTCTGCCACAAGCACTGGCAGGGGGTCGTAGCAGGCCCAGCCACTGGGGCTGCTTTAGGGCATTACGCTGGGTGGGGAAGACCCCAAGCCTAGGGCTCTGAGCCCTGTCCCCTGTGCCTCCCCAGGCCCCTCCAGCAGGCCCTGCCCTTCTCTCCAACCCAAGGGACTAGGAGCCCTCCCTGCCCAGTGTCCAGTGCACTGGATGGACCCCCTCGGAGCAAAGGCAGGAGACACGTGGGGATGTCTGACCCATTTGCCTCCATCTACCTACGTGTGCAGTCCTTCTGGTTTTGGGCAAGGTCAAAGCCGGGCCTGCAGTCGCAGGCCACCCCACCTTTGGGCGTCTCCCGGCAGATGTGGGCACAGCCATGGTCTTTGTTCATGCAGTTCATGCCCTCTGCAGAGAAAGACAGACAAGAAAGGGGTTGGGATGGGGGAAAGAGGAGGCAGAGAAGATTTCAGACTGAAAAGAGATAGGCAGTGGAATGTCACAGCCACGTGGCATGCTCTCGGGCTGCCACTGGCACACGCCTGCAGGTACACACAGGGGCATGCCCGCCATCCAGGTGGGGATCCCTTAGCAAGACACCAAGGACACGGGGCTCAGGAGTTCAGCCAGGCCTCGCTCTGTTAGCCTTGCTGTAAGTGACACTTCAGGACCCACCAAGGAAAAGCCTTGCCCTCAGGCAGGTTCTGGGGTACAGTCTGTGGGCTCTTTTAAGTCAGAACTTGGCAGAGCTGGCCCCACTGGAGCAGGTATGGTGGCGGCCGGCCTTTAAATGATGGATGTGAAGCACTTTTCAGTGTGAAAAGGATTTCACAACCACTTGGGGGAGATTCCCCTCTGGCCTGGAGAAGAGGGGATCGGTCAGGGGGCCAGGGTGGATGGGTCGCAGCAGCCAAGTGCCAACGCCCTGCCCTGGTCTGCTTCCGGGGATCACACCCAAAGGCAGTCGGCCCGTCGTCCTTCCTTGCCGGCGCTCGCATGCAAGAGGCTGCCGACCCTGGTCAGCAGACAGCACAGGTGGCGGTGGCTTTCAGAGATGGACCAGCCCCAAGACCACCCTGTACTACCACACCGCTGGCCTGTGCTGCCCCCGTGTGCTGGCTCTAACTTACCTGGTCCGTGCCACGCATGTAGGACTGCAGAACCCTCACCTCCCGTGCAGAGCCGTGCAGCTGGGCCAGCTGCCCTCTCTGGCCTCGGCCGGGCCTCTGGCCACTCCCTGCACACCTGGCCCAGCACACCCCAGCCCTTTGGTCCACGCTCACACGCGTAACTGCATCCCTACGCTTAGCAGGTGATTCCCGTGTGTTGGCAGATGCTACTTCATAAAGCAAAAATGTTCCCGCACTGCAGCTTCGGGCCCCTCTCCTCTGAGGCCCCCTCTCACAGGGGACCAGCGGGCAGCATCCCTGGGGTCGGGATGACACATACAGCAGAGCTTCTCCTAGGTGCACGGCTGGCCTTGACCCGCCCTCAGGCCACCCTGACCCTGAAGAGGGCCTGCTCCAGCTACAGGCGAGGTCTCTTACACAGAGCCTTGCCTGCGGCCAGCCCTTCTCCGGCGGCCTTTCTGGCTTGTTCTCGGGCCACTTGGAAGCCCAGTCCTTCACAAGCCAGCCTCATCCCCGTCTCCTCCCCTCCCAGGCTCCCACTGTGGTGCCCGACCCCGGGCAGTAACAACTGTCCTGTGCCCGTTCTGCCCCCTACAGCTTGGTGGAGGCAGGTTTGGTCAGCCCCCTTCAGACGAGGGACTGTGGTGAAGGCATTTACACAAAGGCCCACGTGGGCTCAGGACTTGAACCAGGGTCTCTGACTACAAATCCCTGTCCTCCACCCCCCAGAGGCCTCGCTGTACGCAGAGCTGCATGCCCATCTGGCAGAGGGCCTCAAGGCTCCCCGGGCCTGGGTCCACGCCTGCTTAGTCCGTGCCCACCGTGAACTCTGCTGAGACGCACCTGGAGGGCACGGGCGTGATCAGGGTGGCTTCCTCAGTCACCTGTGGCTCCCGAGACATGCCCTCCCCACCCCTCACTCCCAGCAGACTGGATCTCCACTCCCTGAGGGCCTGGAGCGGCTCAGACCCCCTTCAGCTGACCCCAGTTGATGGTTATCTTTCTGGTGATTTGCGAGGTGTTTCCAGAACTTATGAGGCCGGGGGTCAGGCAAGAGGTTGTAGGTTACAAGTCCATCAAGAGGCTAAAGGCAGATGAAAGGGAAGCACCGAGTCTGCCAACACACTGGCTGTGACCTGCCTCCCCCACATTCCCCCTCCCCCTCCACCCCTCCACCCCTCCACCCCTCCCCGTGAGGGCCTATGAGGAGCCAAGCAGCCCAGGAGGAGGAACGGACCTTAGACAGGTGCCCTCCTTTCCCCAGGGACACGCCTGCCTCTTGTTCACCAATCCTGACCTCCACTTTAAGCATGGCTTGGGGAAACCTACAATGGACATACATTTCAAAACAAAAACACCTTGGCAGCTATAATAAAGATTTGAAAAAATTCCGAAGTTAAAACAGGGTAAAAGAAAAAAAAGGTTTGTATTGTTGATTGTATTACTCTTATTATTCTTTCATCCTGATCTTCCCACTTACTCAAACTAAACTGTCGGGTTGACCTAGGGTATAGCTAACTAACCAACAACTGGCCCAGTGAAGAACTTCACTGCTGTGCTCTCACAGAAAACTACAAGTTCATACTTCTAGATTCCAAAAAGGCATTGATGCCTGAGTCAGAGCTTTAAAAATCACTCAATTTGCTCCCAAACCATGGACTTCCCATCAGGCAACCTTTCTTTTTGAGGGTCTAGACTTTAGTGGTGTGTAAGAAAGACAGTGGTGTGCTGGGAAAGGCTTTTTTAACAACCAGCTCTGGGGTGGGGGTGGGGACTGTTTTGTAGCATCTGCCGATCGCCGTGGTGTAAATAACTCCGACCAAGCTACCAAGGAGATGTCACTGAAGGCACAGTTGGAAAGATACGTATGTGCGAGCCCATACAGGCCAGCGCTACCACATTACTGTCTTAGAGAGCTCGTCCTAAAGCGTGGGTATTAGTCTGGCCTCTTTACTAGCTGTGTGTCTTGGGGCAAAATGCTTCACTTCCCTGAGCCTCATCTATAAAACTGGAATGATAACCTCTGTCTCACAGAGTAGGTGTGCAAATTAAATCAGGTCCCAGACAGGATAGTGCCAGGGATACGGTACACACACACACACACCCGTTGCCATCGAGTCAATTCCGACTCACAGCAACCCTATAGGTAGGTAGGTACTCAATAACTGAGACCAGATTTTTCTATGGAGGCAGTGACTTCTGAAGGTTGGTGTCCTGGCTGGGTTGGACAGCCCCGCTTCAGAAGAGGCTTTTAGGAGGAGAAGTCTCTCGGGCCACTGAGACACACTCAGTCTCTCATCAGGTCCCCAGAGACACTCCTACCCAGGCAAGGGTTTGGCCAGTGGGTGGTGGCCACCAAGTGGCCTCTCTGTCGATCCCATGCACAACATAACGAAACACTGTGCCATCCCCAAACGCAATGCGAGTAGACTACTGTGATCCATAGGGTTTTCGTTAGCTGATTTCTTGGATGTAGATCACCAGGCCTTTCTTCCTACTCCATCTTAGTCTGGAAGCTCTGCTGAAACCTGTTCAGCATCATAGCAATAAATGAGCCTTCACTGATAGACAGGTGGTGGCTGAGGAATTAAGCTGGAATTGACTTGATGGCAATGGGTTTGGTTTGGTTTTCTCCTGCAGGGAAGGTGAGAACGCTACCACGGAACCACCACTGGACCTTCCCTGACCACAGTGAATGCTATTGTCAGTGGTGAGCTCAGAGCCCAGGGCCACCCCTCACTCCCTGCTCACATAGCTTCTGTGGCTCCCTAGTGCCCATAGAACACACAGGAATTAGCGTTCAAGCCTTCTTCCCAGCTGCATCTCCCACTGCCTCCTACACACACTCCATGTGCCAGCAATCCCACAGCGCATGCTGACCACTCCCCAAAAGTGTCCCATCTCTCCCCATGCTCTGCCTTTCCTTCCTCCCAGACGACCCTCTCCAGGCTTCCATAAATGAAATCTCAGACTTGTCTCGAACTCCACCAGCCCCACGGAACTTCCTGGCCCCTGGGTTACACCCTGCGCCTCCCCACACCACCACCCCATGCTCATTCTCCAGGACTGCCCCACGCCAGCACAGGAGAGCAGTGCTGCAAAGGGGACCTGTGCTTCAGAAGAGCCCACGGGCCCCTGTGTCGCTCAGGATTACAAGGGCTAAAGAGGGAGACTGAATCTCCATTCCCAAAGAATCACAACTCCCGATAACCATCGCCAACCACAGATCAGTCACTGGGAGTTGATGCCACCCTGAACCTTGGTGGCTACCAGACAGAGTATCGAGCTGTCAAAATCACTCAATTTTCTCCCAAGCCATGGGCTTGCCACCAGGTGGTCTTTCTTCAGGAGAATCTGGACTTTAAGAATGAGCCAAGGTGTTGGCGTCATTCTGCTGGCAAAGGAGAAGGTGGGGGAGTAACCTGGCATTCTAACCAAAGTCAACGGGACGCTCAGCAATGGCATCTCCGAGCCAGGAAGGGTGACCCCAGGCCATCTCTTGTCAACTGTGGAAGACAAGGACGAGGCCTCTACCTCTACCTGAAGTCCCCGAGGCAGAGCAGAGGTGTGGTGATGGGTCCTCTCTCCCTCAGCTATCAAGTGAGGAGCTGGACGGGATCCCCACCAGGCCCCAGAGTGCCCTGCCTCTCTTCTAGCAGCCTTCAGACTTCTTGCCTGACCCAGAGCCCCCTTCTCTCCAGCTGAGGGCTAAGGACAGGCTGGTGAGCATTGGCGCAGTGGCTTCAGGACCTCGAGACGGCCTGAACGATTCCAAAGGCACCCCAAGAGTGCTTGTTCGGGTGTTCATGTGCTGTATCTATCAACATTTACCATACCAGAAATTAAAAGAGAAATTGATATTTATCAATTTATCTGAAAATATTAATAAAAAACTCATTACATGTTAACATGTTATTTTTTTTTTAAATTAAAAAACTATATTTTCCCAAACCAAACAAGAACATGGGGAGAATCCGCCAGAGAGCCCTCACAGAGGAAAGCAGAGAGAGGGAGACGAGGGGGAGAGGAGGCGGACAGAGCCTCTCGACCAACGGTTTGAACTCCTGGGGGTCATCTCGGCCTGCAGCCACGGCTGCTCCTGGGGTCTCCAGGCACCTGCGCCATCACCCCCTTGCTTACGCTAGGCTGAGGGGTGTTCGTTCTGTCACCTGCATTGGATAGAGGCTGCATGGGAGGTCTCCTGGTGGTGACAACCCAGAAGGGGCGGCTTGCTCTGTGGGGCCGCACACCACTGCCTCCTCCTCCAGGAAGCCTTTC